CTCTATGGCCAATATCGTCAAAATTTGTCAATTTAAAACAAAACAATATAGATGGATAAATAGTATTAGGATTACTCCAAGAAGATTTATGTGTTTTATCCCGGCTGCTGTGTAAACAACATATCCATAGACATACAGTATATAGGCAGAATTGAATTCACATGTATACGCACCCAGGCACAAATAAAAACTCAACAAATCGCATACACATACCAACATGGTTTTCTTCCCCAGGCATCAGGTAGCCAATCCATCCTGTGATGGGGAATTGTTCTTTTTCTTATTAAAAGAACAGGTGGCCATGAGATAGCAGTCTCATTTTTCACCGCTGCTGCACTCCATGAGTCCAAACTAATGATCAAAACATTGAGCCGCTCCAAATCATCTCTCACCCAAGACTGATAGATATGAGAACTGATGGGAGGAAGAGTGTGTCTGTGTGTGTGTGTGTGTGTGTGTGTGTGGGTGCAGGTGTGTTTGGAAGAGCCTGTATATACTGTCAACGCATGAATGTGTGACTGCGTACGCATTTATGCTTCCACTTTCTGAATGTTTAAATGTGCACGTTAGGTTATGCATTGGCGCCTTTGTGTGTGCGTGTGTGTGTGGGGGCAAAGGTAGCAAATCTAGGCCTTCGGGGTAAGTTTTGGAACAAGGATGTTTGGCCAGCGGCTGTGACGGATCGCTTGCTATGCTCCTTTTCCACACTGGTGGCATTCTCTAAGCAGTTTCCTCTTCAACACCCACCCTCTCACACAGAAACCTCCCGTCTTCTTTTTTTTTATCTAGTCGTGCCTCATTCGTGCTGCACCATGCTTATAGCTTTCAAAGGGGAAAACAGCATGCATCTCAAAGAGAGGAGATGAAAGAGGTTTAATGATCTATAATACATGGGCACCATTCACTGGCACAGAACAAAAGGTTTAGGTGTTGGGGGAGAAACGGCCGACAGTAAGAAATCGAGACAAGATTCAGTTTGTGTCATCCACCGTTAGAGGTGAAATTGAGGGAGAGGATTGGGAGGCCTCTGTCATGGCCATTGTATTTTTAATTCTTTCTGGACAGCTTAACTCGCCTCCAAATGAGATTACTAAAAACACAAACCAGTCAGTGATGACTGACTGACTGACTGACTGACTGACTGACTGGAAGAAAAATAAATTAATTTCAGGGATGTGTGAGGTGTGTGATATGTTATTTGCATTTTTCCCAGCTCTCCCTGTCACAAAACCTGTGATAAGTGACAACGCTCTGCCACACAAATCCACTCAGGAGATTTGGCAGATGATTTCAGTGATTTGTGTTTGATAGCACAGTGATGACACCGATGGAGGTGGCACGATGTGACACTTTGGTGTGTGAAATAAAAGTGTTTTCCGTCATGCACACTTGACAGCGTGCAGGACGGAAAACACAAACTTCACCATCTCTCCCCCCCCGGCTCTCCCTCGGCTTTTGATCATTTTGTGCTACGTTGTGCCACTCTATTTGGGCTGATGAGATTAGTCATCGCCTGTCCCATCTGTTGTGTTTACGACTCATTTGTTTACTCGCTGGTTCACATCAGAGCTTACTGCGGCCAGGGGAATTCCTTCAGTGCGGGGCCGGGTCCAGGCTCTGAGGTCAACTTAGCTCAATGATTCATCACATTTCTCACTAAGTAGCTGTGATGAACAACACAGATTCCCTTCATTTCTGATCATAATAAAAGGCAAAGTCATGGGGAAATGCCACACGACACAGCCAAAGGGGGAATTGCATACAAAGTTTTGACAGTGCTGTTTGGTCAGCTCAACCAACTATTTCACTACCTGTGGATCTACTGCGTTGTTGACAAACAAGTGCTAATTTGCCATGTTTGACAAGTCAAATAGTTTGCAGCTATTGTAGACAGCAACCACATTCAAACATGAATGTCGCTTGACAGGACGGGTGGTGATGTGAAGCAAGGCTGTAATACTTCAACATTATGCAGATGAGCATTACAGTCACATGGTGAAATTCAGAGTCAAATAAAACTCTGATGAAACCCAAAGTTGTCCACCATGATGTTTTAATGTATGCCACACTGGATGTAAGCTCGTTCTCAGAGCTGTTTCCACAGGCTCGTGATTTGTCCATCCGTCCCTGCATCCATTTTTTTAAAAGCCTTGTAGTACTCGTGGATCACAGCAAGCTTATGCTATTCATGTATTTTGTTATATGAGATAATCTTCACACATCAATTGCTTTTACAAGTTTTACAGCCTGAAATATCATTAGCAAAGAGCTAATCCTTGGTCAGAGGTCACATTCTTCATGTGCAAAACAGCCAAAGCTTCTTCAGCTTCAGGCTACAGTAGCTGATTCAGACAACACCCCTTCTACACACAACAAAGAGCAAACTACTGTTAAAGACTTGCATAACAACCTTTTTGATGGAGCGACTGAATGTTCCTGCTTGGTCTACAGTGTGGTTGTAGTCATCCAGCCTTAGTTTAAATTTCTGTCTGGGTATCACATTTATTTGGTTAGTCTCTAGCAGTCTGCTCTCAGTGACTTCCTGGAGTCTTGTAAAGCTAACCAACTGCTGGCTGTAGCTTCAAATGTATTGTACCTGTACAATAAATAATACATACATAGTAGAAGATAGAATTTAGACTATAGAGTATTTCCAATTATTCAGGAACTATTTGTGGGATACTTATGAATTTGCGCTGAGGCCTAGTTTCTGGTTTGTTCCGCAGTTGTTCTTTGGTAATTACTTGGGATTTTCTGTGTACCTTGTAAAGTGCTGCCAATTATTTTACTGGGGGAATGTCAGTGTTTCGCAGAAAGTTAACAAGCCTTTCTCCTTGTTGGACATTTGAGCCGAGTTACCCTCAGATGTTGTTATAAAATATTGACAACATGTCTTGCCGCATTTTCACTGATGCCACTATACTGAGTTATACTGTGCTCGTCATTCTGACTGGCCATGTAGAAATGATGTTGCGATTATGTTGCAATGTCAGGAAATACTGTCTGTTGTTGAAGGTCTCCTGGTTTTTGTCACTGTCTTGAAGTTATATTTATACAGAAGAACCCAATGACTTAAACCTCTCAGCCAACCTGTTGTCATGCAGAATGCTCCTCGTTACTGATGATAACTGAAAAAGAGGCAAAACTGGTTTTTCCTGTTAGGGTGCAGCCAAAAGTCAGTCAGCAGGCATTTAGTGAGTGAGTACTGCTACCATTGCTACATTCATATCTAGGAGTACACTGATAAGACTGTCGCTGATTACTCTGGTTCCAATTAAAATGGTTGGTGAAGTGAATAGATCAAATCGCTAATGTAAATGGTTAGGCGGGGTTAAACAGTAAACATTGTGTTGACGGATGAAAACCCTTTCAACTTTTGCAAGATGGTTATTACGAATCAGCCTTTACTGCATACTGCATAATGATTTATCTTTAACACTTTATTATAAACATACAAATCATATACCTTTATATCTGGAGTTAGCAGGATTTCTATTACATAAAACTATAGATACCAGTATGTTTATTATGTAAATGTTAGTATCTGACAACCAGTTTGATTAAAAACTCTATGAGAAAAAGTACTGTTCTGCTTTCAGAGAAGCTGAGCACATACGTGGATCTTAAATAGTTTTATGTGACTGGAATACAGCTGATTTGGTCACATATCTATTAATGTATGAAGAAACTAATGGTGAGCAACAGGAATTCACGATACATGCTGCATTAATTCATGCATTAAATAATCATGAGTCATGCATTAGTTCAGCATTACTTAAGTATATGATTTGTGCTACCCTAATTATGAAGTGTTAACGATTTGGGGCTTCTCAGCCCTCCCGGAGTGAAATAAAGTTTGAACATTATCATATTACTGAGGGTATGATTACAATGGTTGAACCGAATGGGCCCAGTTTTCTGTTTAATGCACTCTGAGCCAATAATCTCTGTTTGCTGTCAAACGATAAAAATGCACAATACTCCTGGGCAGCTCAAAGCCATCATACTCCTACTGTCAGTTCATCTATTGGCACACAAACACTGATTAGAGATTGCTTGCTGGAATGCAGCAGAAAGCCAATCCATCCATTGTGCTACAGAAAAACAAAATCTTTTTCAGATTTCTAAACCTAAAAAAAACACTGTTCAGTATGTTCTCAAATCAGGGCCTGTCACGGCATCTGTTGCTGTGCTTTGAAAAGCACCGGAACGCTGTGTGGTCCCACTGAAACCACAAAGCCAAGGGCACAGCCAAACAAACAATCCAAGATGTCAGACCATGTGGAAGCAAAGGCCGAGGAGCCCAAAGAAATCGTTCGTTACGTATGCCATCCTTCACGTCTTACATAACACAAAGTCAACATTCATTACGTAAAGTAAATTAGCCCCGGCTGACTCTATTACATGCCTGTGTGCTTTAATGTAGGGAGAAGTGTCCCATAGAACATGCTGAGCCAATGCTGGTTTTGACTGACTTGGAACTTTTGTAGAATTTTTCACACTATATATTGTGTCCTCTAAATCATCTTTGCAGCTGAAGCTAACCAGGAAAACTCCAGCGGCCTGTGAGAAGGATTTTGTTGGCAAATGTATACCCAAAGGCACATCTTACATCAAACGTATGCTTGATTCTTAATTAAACCAATAGAATACAGCAGCAGTGACAGCTCTGTGGTGCTTTGCCTCAGTAAAACTTAACAGCCACTAAAGTTTCTTCTGAGTAATGATTAATGCATCCAATTTCTGTGATCTGTATTGAGCGTAGCATCATGGGTAATTAAATGATGGTCTACAGAGCACTGACTTCTCTCATAAAATGACAAGGCCATAATTATCATGAAGCTTGGTTACCCTCTGACTCAAATACTAATTGTGTATCAATAACCGAGCGGAGGATGTCACAGAATTAAAGCCCCAAACAATCCAAGCTGTACAAAATAGCTCACAGCTACAACACTGCAGTCAATAACATCCGGTCCTTCTTTTAACAAAAAGTTGACTTTTGATATTCAAACAATGCATATTTATTCATTGAGCAATTTCACAGGTCCATAAAGTGAGACATGTAAAACCAACAGACGGCATTACCTGATTCAAACATATTTACATTGTCAGAGGTAAAAACTGCACAGTGTTGAACCATCAAAACGCAATAAGACCAAAACCAACCCTCTAAGTTATTATTTCCTTGCATATTATCTTGTCATGAAAAAAAAAACAACAAAAAAACCCACAACCCGCCAGTCTTGCAGGCGTCTGTATTAAAAGGAGATTCACTCACTGAATACCGAACGCCGTATGTTCTCTTGTAACACCTCAGTGACCAAGAATATAGCATCCTCCAGTAAATACAATAACAAAAGCATTGCGCACTCTTAGAAGAGGGATGTGCTGGATGGAAACCGTTTATACTTTCTCACTGATTCATAAACAGGCATCATTTTCAAACCAGCAATACAACTTCAAACAAAGTACAGAGAATCCTCCTTGGGGTACTGTGTGGCTGTCCAAGAGTCAAAAAAACATAATATAGGAGGAGAATATTGATGTTTCCTTTACTACCATTTAAATCAAGCCTGTTATTTTTATTATTGTTATCCCTCTCCAAGATAAATAGGGTGATAAAAACAGACGCCCGCCACGGTCTCGTTGACATTTTAGGGAGTCCTTTTGGAGCAGTAAAGATGCCCACTTGATGGATACCAGAGCTCTATAGACAACGGGAAGACAAAATGAAGGATACTTATGGATGCAGAGGCGGATAAGGAAAAGAAATAGAGAGAACATGGGCAGTGCAGAGAAGAAAGGATGAGGGGGTGAAGGTGGGTAACATCAGTGAAGAACAGAATGAAGAAAAACAATAGTGGGAAGACAGAAAAAGAGAGTGACATGCCGAAACAGTCCATCAGCAAGAAAACTCCAGGACAGGATAGAACAGGTGATGTACAACCAGGGAGAGCTGTGCTGAGGGAGAGACAGAACAGACAGCCACAGCAGCAGCCGTCAACCAGGGAAGATGAAAAAAAGTGGGAAAAAAAAACTTGACACGTTGACACACTCCTTTTGTTTCTTCTTCTGTGTTTTCAGTACGCTGGTCTGTAGAGAAGCTCCCCAGAGGCAACTCTGCGTTTCAGCTCCTGCCACAGCAGCTCCCTCTCCTTTTGGGCACCCTTCATGAAGCCTCGGTTCTCCTGGGCCCTCCGAGACAGGTAGGGCATCACCTCATTCACCGGCCCGTAGGGGACATACTTATAGACGGGAAATCCGGCCTGGCCTGGGGTTGAAGATGATTTGATGGGAGAAAACAAAAGAAAAAGGGGGGCTTTGTAGCATGATATGGATGAAGATGATAAATCTAAATGCATTAGAATATTTCATAAACGTTTTTCATGAAGAGACTGTTAAAATCTGATTTTTGATTGACTACTTGGAATTTCAGGAGCACATTGTTTTAACAGGTTTTTTCTAAACTCCAGAGAACACATCACAACTGAACTTCATCTCAACTGGCTTCCTTCGCTGAATGATTGCTACAATCCTTCTAATCAGTCAGGTTTCCTGCATTTGCACAGACACCCTCATTTTTCTGCATTTGAATCAGAGGAGCTGCTGTTATCTGCCAGTCAGGCTCACAAACTGTGACTGTTTTCGCTGGGGCTTTCTCTTCAAATCCAAGGAAATGAATGTGCTTTTAACTAATGCACAAGCACTGGCAAAAACATCAGAACATGATACGATAAAACAAAAAAAAAGTCATGAAACGATTTTCCTAAGCCTCAGCATACCTGAAAACAAAATTGCAAAAACTGAACATGGCACCTTTTATTAAGAAAAAAGATGGATTAAGTGACAGACAAATAATAAAGATCTCAACTCTAATGTGCTTTATTTCACAAAACAACTTCAAAGATTCAACGACGGCCAAGAAACACTTGTCGGTTTACATCAATACTGGTCAAGGCCGTTTCAACTTGAGCCTCACATTGACAGACAACTGCCTGCCGCCACAGTGTCTGTCTTTGACTGACAAACAAAGTGGTGAGAGCCAGCAGCAGCAGCACTTTGTTAAGACAGCTTGTCAATACCGAGGTGTCTCAGTTCATATGTCCTGTTATAGGCAGCAGACTGACTTCTACATGTGCATCTGATGCACTCCAAGTGGTCTGTGAGGTATGTATCTGAAAGGCCTTTAAGAGACACAGGTGACAGTTAAAGGGGAGCGCAGCACATACAGATCAGATCAGATCCGGCAGAGGCTGAACTTAACCTGTCAGATCATCCTCACGTGGGGGAGCAAACATCGGTGGCTTCTTATTGAGCTAGAGCATGTGTGTGCGTGTTTTTCTCACCCAGTGGAAAGCTGATCTGATCACACATGCCCAGTAGTTGACCGAAGTACACCTTGTTCTCTGTGGGTAAGAGACCCAGCTCATTCATTCTGAAAGACAGAGAGAGAGAGAGAGAGAGAGAGAGAGAGAGAGAGAGAGAGAGAGAGATAGACTTAATAACTTAGTTGACATATATGTGTGTATATATATATATATGTATATATATATCTAAAAGTTGAAACCGTACCTCTTCAAGGTGTGTTTCACTGTGTCCTCATTATGGGAAGCCACCATCACATTGGCATTCCTGTTGAGTGCAATCTCATCCAGCACATAGTCCAGACACCTTACACAAACGCACAGGAAGGCAAATTAACTATTAAACTGTTCACTGTATACTATTAAAATATAATATGCAATATAGTGTATGCATATTGTGGCTTACATTGCATCATAGCCCATCCAAACAAATCTTTCTCATTAGCATGTAAGATTTATCATGTGTTGCAGGACAGTCTTTACACAGCTTAATGGAAAAATGTCCCAAATCACTGAACATATTTACCACAAATCTGAACCAATCCATTCAGGAAGGACCTCTGCCTTCTGCTCTCCTGCTAGTGTAGCTGTGTTAATATGCATGTACTTAACTCACCACCACACCAACTCATGCTGTGCTGTAGCCCATCAGCCAAACTTTTTGTCTGTCCTAAGTTTATGTTTACCTCAAAATCTAATTGAATACTTGAGGGTGGTCTTTCCTCTTTTTGTGAAAAACATATTGATCTCCACAGGGTGATTTCTTTGATTGTTAAAATTGTTACAACACAGCACCCCTGGAGCTTCTGGAGTTTGCACAACTCAACAGGGTGGAAGCTTGCTGACATTAGATGTTGCACCCAGAAACTCCAATTGAAGAATCTAATAATTAAATCCCTGTGCTGTCCATTGCAGCAGGTTTGTGCCTAGAAGGTGGCCAGTTTAAATCTGGGACCCACATGGTAAAATCAGAGTGGCACAAGTTCTTTCCTGGGTAATCTTTGAACATGACATTTATCTTTAAACTAGCATAAGGATATAGTAAAAGCAGCTTCAGAAGAAACTTAGCTTGGCTAAAAGAGTCGTCAGTTAATAAACAAAACAAACAAGCCTCTTGCCTGTGGTACATCCAATTGGTAGTCTCATAATCAGGGTTAATAGGGTCCTCATAACCATTCTCTTTGGCCCTCTCTCGCTCCTGATACATGTAGGCCCCACGCACCAGCTTGGCAGCGAAATGCCAACCCTCACGTCGAGACAATTCTACATCCATAGTTACACTGTCATAGGCTTCCTGCAGAGCAAAAAAAGACGATCATTCACACTTTAGCAAAGACTAAGCATAATCAAGTCCTTCAAGTTTAAATACAAAAATGTTGAATATTGAGCTCAGCACATTTCCCATTTTTACCAACTACTAACTAGTCAACAATTACAGAACCAAATGATGTGTTACTGCACAATACACTGACACTTACATCATGTATCAGCCTATTTATTCTACCTGTCAAAGACTAGGCCACCTATCATAACCAACGACAAAAATAAGTATTAAATAAAAATTATATAAAAATTAAATGAGAACTTGCGTTACGTTAAATGGTAACGTCAGCAGCAAAGCAGTGGTGTATTATTACAGACAGTAACTACATGAGACAAGTGGGACCCACAATGACCTATATATTTTATATATATTTATATTTTATCCGACATATAGTATTTGTTATCTTTATTCTACAGTACTGCATGTATTAGCTGACAATATGGTAAGCCAATGTACTTTTGAGAGAATAATAATAAGGTTGAAAAAAGGATGTTAATCGCATGAATGACACTCTACTGTGACTTAAACAGCTTCTCATTTGAAATGGTGTATTTAAAAAAAAATAAATAAATAAAGCATCAAACTTCCCTCTAACATTATCCTCTGCTTCATGACGCTGTTATATCCTCAACTCAGCTGACTCATAGTAATCTCTTTACATGTTGACATCTGGAGTAACAAGCTTTGTCGTAGTGTGTTCTTCATCACAGGAATAGACCTTTTTCACAGCAGCCATTTCGACATGAAATAGTAGGGTAAACAAAAGTATAACTAATGATTCTAATTAAGGTTGTCTTTCCAGTGAGTCAACATTTACAATAGTAGCCCCCCTGACTGAAAATGAACTAGTATCATTGGTAACACCTGTGTTTACCCTACTATTTCATGTCAAAATGGCTGCTGTGAAAAAGGTCTATTATAACTGTTGTGTCTGCATGCACATAATTTATACTTTTGATCTGGCATCTCTGGTATTTTTCATGAATTGTGGATTCTGACCTTTAGGTAGCATTGGTAGGTGTTGAAGATGACAGGTTTTTCTTTGTTGTAGGTCCTCTGCATCTCTAATGTCAGTCTGCTGATAGCTGGCTGGAGGTAGGTTTGCTCTGCATCTACCATCAAGCGAACGCCATTCTCCATGGCATGCTGGAATAAAAAACAAAATAAAATGTATATAGTATAATATCGCCTAAGAGTATTTATTATGCATTAGTTTAACTAAAAATGAATTGAATTGTATACCTTAGATTTGTTTTTGTTCTTGTGTTACAGTTGTTGCAGTGGCAATGACAATGTATAATACAGATTTCACACAAAAGGTAGTACCACTTCTGTATTGACCTGAAAATTATCTATTCATATTAGTAAGTGTATGTATTCTGTTCAAATGATCATGATAACCAAGAAAGCACAGCTTGCTATGAATCATCACTCCACTGCTGTGGCATGTTAACTAATAAACATGGATAACTCAGACAACAGACATATTTAACCAATAAACATGCTGCAGTCGTGATAAAGATGCCACTCTTGGTTCAACTATAAGTGCTTGTGCCTTGCAAATTAACAACAAATTGTTACTGTGTGTTTATTTGTGTACAGTGATCAGCCCTTGTAGTAAATGCGCATTTACCTTGACTAAGACGTCCATGCGCTGTAAAATCCTCTTCATTTGGTTCTCTTCCTCTATAGTGAACATCTCCAGCAGAGGCTCCAGCTCACCTAGCTGGGCAAACAACCCAGGAGAGTGCACACTATGAGATGCTAATGAACCCAACATCACACAGCATGATACCTATTAGTGCTTCTCACTTTACCCACCCTTCAGCTGTCTTTAGTCCAAGGTCAAGAGATAACTTGCCTAAACACTTAATATTTACAAGGGCTTCTTGACAGCAAGGAATCAATCATGTAATTTAAAACATTTACTTTTAAATTACATCAGCTAGTAGCAACTAAATTATTGTCTCCTTTGAGTCTGGTTCTTGAATTATATTTAAAGAAATTCTTTAAACTGCATTTATTTACAGTACATTCCTCTCTCTTTCAGTGTTTCATGCTACTGACCTCTACATTTGGGATGACCAGCAGGTCCGATATATTTGTTCTATGATCTATCAGGCTGTTCCAGTCGAGCATGTCAATGGTTCTGTCATAGAAAGGTAAAGTACTTCAAGATTAACTTTAATACAATTGTAATAAAATAGTTTCTCGCTTTTTATGAGATTTATGTATGAGGTGTGTTTCTAATTCCTGTGTTGTTTTTGTATATTATGCCTCAAAATGAATTATACTCATACATTTCAGCAGTAAATGTTAGCAAATCCAATAACTTATTACTTTAAAAAACACATATATTGTACAATACTGAGCATGTGCTATAAAGTGAACTATGAAGATGCTCTATGATAAATGTGTTTTGTTATGCATGTTGGGGGAATAGTGGTGATTGTTCTGTGATGCATTGCAGTCCACCAGAACACAATTTGTTCTTTTTGTCCTGCATTTTATAATTGAATGAAGTTTCCTCTAAATTGCTTGGAATATAATGAAATATTTTCAATTTGTGCAACACTGACATTGTTTCACATATATTTCTTGTCTATTTTGTTCATATGTGTTCATGCTTACCCTGAAGATTCCTCTTTCCTCCCACTAAACCAGTCATAGAAGTCTCCTTTTGCACCCAGTTTGGTCAGGAATTCCTAAATGAACATGAAGATCTAAAGTACTAAAAGGCACATAGTCAAGCAACAGCCTCATATTGTGTATGGAACAAGAATGTGAAATTGATCTATAACATTGGATGTAGCATATGGTAGAGATTACCCATGTACCACTATAATTAAAGTTCACCAGGAGAACAGATGAGGAAAAACTCCACCTGCATTTGTTTCAGCTCCAGCCTCTGCTCTAAGGCCTCCATGCCATCTTTTCCCTGCTGTGATGCCAGGAAGGAGAAGAATCGCTGCCATTTCACCAGGACTTCTGAGAACTGAAGCTTAAAAAAAAGAAAGATGTCACTCCACCACACCCCTTTCACGATAGTATTAGCTAAACTAGTGCATTGACTTTTTAATCACAGTCTTGGTGCCTACCAGAAACTGAGGTCGTCCAAGAGCAGTCATTTTGACGGCAGAGAAACCGTCCATTGAACTCCCACCTAGAGGTCAAACATACTTATTTTCAAAATAAATCAAATGCATGTTTAAAGACTGCATCTAAGAAATTTTGTGGATAACAGAACCAGACCACCTGTCAATTGGTTGAGGGGTTACAACATTAACACAACATTCCAAAACAGCCATATTGTGAAGTTGTATTACTGATATACAGTAGTTAAAACTTTTGTAACCTTACCAGATGCTTTGATGCATTTGATGAAGGTCTCCATATGCTGGTCACATTTGGCCTCATCGGCGTAGAAATAAGTGCGGGCTCCAGTCACTCCTTCACGATGATCACCGAACTGTTTGTGCGCTTTATATTTTTTCTCTCTGTGGTCCCCGCCTGGGGGGGAAAACAAATTTGCATGCCTATTACTTCTAATTACATCATATACTGTGTCCACAAATGAGAACAAACGAGGCAGCTTACCTATGCTCTCTTTCTCTGCAGTGGATACACATGAGCTGAATTAGGAGAAATAGAAAAGGATAAGAAGAGTTCATTTGGGCAACGTTAAAAATGTTTTTTTTTAAAAAGTTGAATTTAGGAACTTGTATTCTTTCTGTGAACATTTTGGCCTTGTGGCAATAGCATGCCAGAGGCTGACATTGTGTTTAGTGACCCTATATAAGCTGAACTGTCCTGCTGTCATCTTGCTGACCCTCCAGAGAGGGCAGTTGTAGCATCACATCACACTTGACCTATTTGCCCCCTCATCACAGGGGACTGGGGAGCTCATGTAACCAAACAGATGACTAAACACTAAGCATGGTACACATCAGAGATGTCAATAGGATTCGAAGCCAGGAAAATAAAGGGAGTTGTCTTCTTTTAACATTAACGTTATTTTTATTGCAGGAGTCTGAATTAAATTGCAATGGAATCCCTTTGACACTGACTGATTTATTTAGTGCCTTGGGCCCCTTAATTAATATTTCAAACTAGTAGGGTGGAAACAGTTTGTCAGTTAATTCATTCAAGTCAAACAACAGAAAATTTTTATAATCGAACCATGTCTCAAGTAAAAATGCTTTTCAATATGTGAGGATTTGCTGCTTTTCTGTTTTGCATTATTATAAACTAAACATTTTTGGACATTGATTGGATAAAACACGTTACTACTAAGACGTCACCTTCACAATGACTAATTTTTCACTTGCTTCTGGCATATTTTAGACTAAATGATTAATCAATTAAGTGTAAAAGTAATAGCCATATTGATCTATTATGACTACAAACAAATCTCAGACTTCTAGCAGCATTGAATAGCTGGGATAAATAACACTGGTTCCAGTTTTTACTACACAATGATTTAAATTCTGTTTCAAACATTTTCTGTGTTAAACTGCCAAAAATGTGAATTGTGTTAGAAGCACTGATTATTGGTAATCTTTTTCATAAAAAGGGACCTTTTAATGGAACTTGACTACTGACACAATTTATTGGTTATTGGCAGCTGTGTTTAAATAATGTCAGTAACAGCCTTCCACATCCTTAAGTAAATCTTAACTGTAAAATCAGGTGTATATATTTTGAGTTAAAATGACCTACGTGACTACAGCTTGAAATTGTAAGTATCATGCTCTCAACATCAAGCCAGGACTTGCCTCTCTGTTCCTTATATCTTCTTTCTGTTGCAAGGAACTGACTAATGTTGTTGTTGCTATCTTAACAGATCACTGGAGCTCCTGTCAAACCCTGCTGTCTGAGATCAAGCTGGCTTAATGTGCCTTGTCCTACTGCTTTACGGTTTGAAGGTGTATGTTCACCAAACAAAAGCTTTCTAGGCTAAGGTTTGATACCGCTTTGATGTTTCCAAGCAGGCATCCCCAAGACAAAGTATATCAAAGCTGTGCAGAGATATCTTGTTACTAGTGACACAGTATAAAAAAACTGAGTAAGTACAAGAAGGGTCGAAAAAGTCATAGCAAAGGGCTTGCATACCTCACCTTACAGAATGTGATAACACAATGACACAATTATAGAGGGCAATCTGTCTGACAAAAGATGACATTGCAGTCAGCTGTCACTTTATGTCAACAGACTTAAACACCAGATACTTAAATATACTGCCTAACAGCCCTGTTTATTCACTGTGCCTGACCTTCAAAAGCCTAGAGATATTGTTTGAGTTTACCAAAGGTCAGTATTATGCTTAGTAAATCTGACAAGGGAATTTGTCTTTTTCACTTCAATGACATAGGCATCAAATAACACTTTAGCGATTTACTGATTCGACTATGAAGCAATTCCTCAAAGAGGCAGAAAAGTACAAATTTTATTTTGGACTATGAGATGTCCTAATTACTCACAATGCATGAATGCACAGATCTACAACTTAAGTGGCATTGCGGCTGCCGCTGCCTAGATGGACTGCTTGCATAAGGTTTGTACTGTCATCCAGTTTACATCAGCTAATAGCTCAGATAGCCACTGCCTTGTGCTACTCATGTGACAGGATTCCTAACGAGTGAGAAATTCTCTCCAGCCTGCCCATCCAGAATGAGGGGCCATGACTGAGCTAACAAATCATGTTGTGAGAGAGTGTTTACTTCCTGGTTGGGAGGCATATTAAAATAAACCTATTTTTGGCATCAAACAATGGGGAAAATACTCTGTAATGTACCCTGTCTATATGTCAGTTTACATTATTAAATTAAAACAGCACAAGATCTGTGCATTTATGTGACCATTTTTGATCTTGTGATTTTATGTTTTTACACCAATAGTTCGGCTAACTTTAAAAAAAAATCTTGAAAACATCTTTTTTGTATGTGATATCTACTGAAATGTATGAAAATATTGCAGCTTTCATACTCCATCTCTTTCTGCTCCGCCTCCTTCTGGGTGATGTCTTCCTCCACACTGTAGTCCAAGACAGAGCCAACGCCAAAGGCCTGATTCTTCTGGATCAGCGGCCTGATGGCCATGTGGTCCTCACCAGCTACAAACTGGCCATAAAATGTCATCTTCATGAACTGATTGAAGCCTTTTTGGCCCATGATCTTCTTACCTAGATCCATTATCTGAGCAGAAAAGGAGAAGACATTATAAACCTTTGATTTTTGACAGGTATATTATGTCCCTATAATTTAAAAACAAGGCTGTGTCTAGGCATGTTTCTGAAGGCAACAGGTCAGTTGGTCTTCCATAAGCAAAAAAATTCAAATGTTCTTACCCTCGAGCTATAAACAACACATGGCATGTAAGGCTAAAACAGGGACAGAGAGCAGCTACACTGAAAATCAGTCATACAAGATTAGATTACTACTTCACATTTGGTGTAGCTATACTTGCTCTCACAACCACAACCACAGCCAAGCTTTCCATAGATTCCACTGATTAGATTAGGACTGATAGGCAGAGTCCATTAAAGCACTGTACCGCCATGCATCGCAACATGGGCTGAAAGAAATACCCTTTTATGAATGAATAATTGTCGCCAATCCATTTACGTCCTGCTTATCACCAGATGAACATTAACATTATAACTTGATCTGACATCTAACTGAGGTTAGGTAACATGGCCTGCAGAGAGGTTCACTTGCAGGCTTGGAAAAACAGGTTGTAATTTGAGAGGTGGGTGTTACACATAAGACAGAGGCTCATGCCGTCAGCCAGCAATAAATATAGAGTTATCTGTGTGTATTAATACGGAGTTTGCCATTTAAATGTGCCTATCTTAATATACTGCTTGTTAGTCAGTGATAATAACACATTTTTTGGCGTCTGGTCAAGTGTAAAACCTATTTTTGTTTCTATGGCGACGGTCCTTCTACCCGCGTATGCAATAGGAAAAAAAATGTCATATAAGCGTTAACAATTATACCACCCTTTAATATACTGTCAACATAAAGTCGTCTGAACAAGTAAAATCCCATTAACAAACAGACTCCATGCTTAAAGGCCGGGCTTCACGGTAAGACAGCACCTCATTACCTCTTTATTCTTATCAACCAGGAAGTCATAGGAGCAGAGTTTAAAAACCACCAAACTTCTGAGCAGCTCTAATGAGTCTTTACTCTTATAAGCCTCCCGTGTCTGGTCAAAGTCTACGGAGATCTCATTAGCAGTAGCAGTGGTGGTGCCTCCTCTCCCTCCTCCGCTCCCCGGCTGTCCGGGACACTCCGACCGTGCCGAGTCATGTCGAGCGCCGCCACGGCTGCTGACATCGTCCTGCGGCTCCGTCTGGGTCACCGAGGTGGAGGTGACGGTGGACCGGAGTCTTCGGCTGGAGCATACGCGTTTAAAGGCAATGTCCGCCCCTGCCCGTGTCAGGGCAGGCACGGTTTTTACATGAAACATCAGCCTTGGAGGAGGTGGATGTCAGCGGAGCGGTTAAACGCAGGTCATTAGTTGGCGCTAGCTGAGCACGCTACAGTGTAAACAGTGTGATGTTAATGTAACATCAACATCACTGGATTGGCGCAGCTGTGACGCGAGAGTTTCCTACTGGTGCACATCCAGGTGTACTGTAAGACCTGACAGTAAAATTCATCGTTGAAGAAGAACAGTTTGTCGGTGTCATTTTTGTGTGGCAGCATTTTTTAAGCAAGCCTGCAGGCCAATTTTACCAATGTACAGTGTATGAAAGCTAAAGGTACTATAAGTAAATAAATCAAGAACATGTACTCAAGTACAAATGTAACGTAAGCACACATTTTTGTGTTGAGCTGTAGTTAACATTACTTTGATTCAGTTTGCTATGATGGAATGTAACTAAGTACATTTAATGAAGTACTACACATTTGAGGTACTTTAAGTGAGTATTTCCTTCTTATTCCTCTTTTTTCCTTACTTCTACTCCTCTCCAATTCAGAGGAATACTTTTTTACATCTGGCTTTAGTTGCTGGTTACTTTACACACAAACTACTCAATTGATTCATGGAGAATATAATCAACAGAGGAATTCATAATGAGTTATTAGTTGTAAGAGTTAAAATACAATAAGTAATAATTATAATATACGGTATATACATATATTAATAATAAACAGTCACAGAGGATATTCTTTCTGGATGGAGTACTTTTTACATTTAATTTTTTGTAATTATACTTACATACCTTTTAGTATCATTTTGAAGGAAGGAGTTTTACTTGTAACTTGTGTTTTTTTTCAGTACTTACAACTATCTGAATACTTTACTTAACCTTAACTGTAACGGTATAGTAGCTGTACCTCAGTGAGGATAGATGGATGGATAGATAGATAGATAGATAGATAGATAGATAGATAGATAGATAGATAGATAGATAGATAGATAGATCACAAAAACAAATGGAATAAGACATAATTAAATAATACTATATACTAAAATAACATAACTATGAGTTAGAGTCTGGTCAGAATATGCACTGTATGTGCCCAGTAATAACCCACTGTACATTAGTACAGACATTCTCTACAGGTAAACCAATAATATATAAGGAATAGTTTACTTTAAAATGGGACATTTTTTATGCTGAGTACTCTTGTGAAGTACATTTTGCTGATTAGATTATGTAACCTACTTTTACTTGAGTTACATAATATAACAAAGTAGGTTTGTTCTTTTACTTGTAATTGTGGCATTGCTACTTTTACTTAAAGGACCTAAATTAATTCCTGATTGTTTTCAGTCATTTCAGAAACCTTTCTGACATGGAGACCTTGCCACTTTGAGATTGGCTGAAACAATATTCATGTAAGTCAGTCACATAATTTGCTCTCACTTGGTGGTGACACAAGCAACCAATGACACTTTTTAACATAATCTCCAAGACAAACAATCTCATGCTTGCAACGTAGGACTCGCAATTCAGCCCTGGAACATTTTTGACATGCACAACAAAGCACTTTAATTTTGACCATCTGAATTACACTCACAACATCACAAAGCATTATTTATCATAAATTATAGTTGTCTAATGTTAAACCGTATATAAAAGACCTGTCAAACAAATTAGGGTCATAGCAATTTTCTGTTTTGTATTTTGGCAGTGGGTTTTGTTGACATATGGATCACAGGTTATGCCAGTAGAATTAAATTACAAACATGGCATAACATTTTATAGAAGGGTAATGAATGACTTTATTTCAGACAGGAACCTCTTCAAAGCCCAGGGCTGGAATGAGATGTGCTCCAGTGAGACCCCAGGCACATAGTATTGTGTAGCTATTAGTAGAAAAAAGGCATCTGATGTAATGAATGAAAAACATGATATTTCTCTTGGCTCCATCCTACAGCTTTCAATGGTTAAGAGGCCTTGTTCTTGCATTTATTTAATGCAGGAGGTGCCAAATGCTAAAATTACTCTGTGTTAACAGATGGGGGAGCCATTGTCTAACATGTAGTTATTACACTGTTCCCCCCCCCCCACACACACACACACAAAGGTACACACACTCTTCCCAGCCATCAATTAAAAGCTGCCGTATGTTAGTGTTTACTGTTCTTCAAATCATATATATAAATTATATATATAGCCTACATTCTGTATGACTATGGCAGATGTTTGAAATACGCAACTAGTGATAATTCTGACAATAGTGGTCATTTTCAAGACACGATGGAGCTGTTTTTTCATACTAATTGTCTATAATAAGTTGTTTTCTTTATTTCAAATTATTTAAAATGAGGCTGTTTCATAACCTAGGCCATTAAAACAGACCCTGTTGCACACAGGCCTATGTAAATTTGGTGGCTCACGCATGGCGCATGGAGCCAAAGATAGAGTAAGGAATCAGGAATGTATGGAAAGCCAGGCAGTTCAAATATACATGACTTTTGCGGTTGACAACGCAACCAACGCATTGTCAACGCATTGATATTTCACATGCGTTAACAACACGTTGAAAATGCTTTTAGGACGTGGGTTGCCTACAACTACATAAACATTCTCTGTATGTTCTTTGTCTTTTTCTTCATTTGTTGTGTATCCTGTACATATTAAGATTCAATCATTTATTGTCACATCAACAACAGTTGATTGGTATTTGATTTCCTAAAGTTTCGAAAATGTATGGTCATTGGGGTTTCTGAACATTTTCAAGAACAGGAGAGCTCGCTATCCAATCACCAAATAATGCAATTCTTACAGAAATCTGCAATGGTTAATGGCTGATTATCTGTTATGGTAAAAGTTGAAATCCAATCAATATCATCATAAATAAATAAATGTTATTCCAATATTATACTATCTGTGCAACAGAGTATGACAATAGCAATGCACAATATAACAGTCAGGTAAGTACAGTAGGGAAAACGTTAGCTGAAGAAAACGCTGGGACTGTAATTAAAAAAGTATTTAGAATTGAATTGAATGTTTAATATTTCAACATATTGAAAGTATTTGTTAGACTATAGCTTGTATCTTAAATTTTTGCACTAAGCACCTAGCTAAAATCTAGACATTCAACCTGCCTGTCATTATTTACCCATTTCATCTTAATAAAGAGTATAGTCAAGTATGCGCCCTGATGGTTATAGCTCTAAATTAAATTAAAATGCTGAATTGATTAATGGTTTTTAAGCTATGTATTAACGAATAGGTTTGTTTACCCATAAAAGGCATTAGTACGGAGCCCCTAAAGGGTATGGAGCCCCTATATAGTGCGCACTAGATCCCGTGTTGTGGCGAATCAACACATGGCTAATTTTAATATTCAAATGAGTATTAAACTAATTTGTCTGTAACTAACAAATAAATGTAAATTAATCTGTAACCTTTTTTGTTACAGTCCGCATTTAAATGCCCTGTCCTGCAGCCGGACCTTCATTTGTCCTCCTTTTGAGAAAATAACAAAAACGGTCCGCCTTTTGACACATTACCTTGTTAGCTTAACACTTATTGGCTTAAAATGTGTGTGTGTGGTGAACTATCAACACATGGCAAATTTTAATATTCAATGAGCCATGTGTTGATTCGCCACAACACGCGATCCTCTAGTGCGCACTAGATCTGTATCTAGTGCTCACAAGATAGTATCTAGTGCGCACTAGAAACGTTTCATTTATTTATTTTTTTTTCCTATGTCCCTTTAGGGGCTCTGTACATTAGTGGTGCAAAAGGGGGCAATTTAAGTCATAAACCTGCAATCCAAAAATGTTATATACGTAAAAAAGGAAGTAAATGACAAAGAAATAGGAGGATCCAGAACATGTTAACTAGTGGTAGGTGACCCCTAACCCCCCTGCTTTAACCTTAGTCCTTGGCAGCCAGCGGAAATTTAAGACACTCACCTGTATAAACTTGACAAGTGGCCTAGAATTATATTAAATTGATGCCTGGGATCACACATTGTCAAGGTCTTGTTTAAGTGTTGTCAACACTTCCTCAACCTGTGAAGAATGAACCCGCTAACAACACGTTGAAAGTCATGTATATTTGAACTGCTTGGCTTTCCATAGCATTTCCCTCCTGCCACTCCTGGGAGCGCAAGAGCGGACAAAAGTTACGGATTAAGCGCTTGTCCTCCAAGAGGAAAAAGCGAAAGGCAGCTAATTTGCCGTAATCTTTTGTCAAGATTATCATCGATCTACACGTTTCCAGATGCGTTGAGGACATTATGTTGGACAAAAAGTTGTTTTTATTCCATTATGAGTCTGGACTCATCAACTATGAATGATGGCCTCCTTTTTTGATGGAATAAACGGCGCACTGCAGGAAAACAACGTTTACCAAGAATACTGTGATTTGCGAGAAGTTTCGGTTTTATGACTTTTTTTTTTTTAGCTGTTCAGTTGGGATTGCTGTCTCTGGTCACTTTTCCGCTGCTGAGTTTCTCGATGGCGTAGGTGGTGGCAGAAGTTTTTTAATCACTTTTTTTTGCTTTTGGATTTGATATTTATGCAGACAGGTCTTCAGTATGCGCTTAAAACAAAGTGAACTGTTTAAATCCCAGTGAAAAGCCATCAATCATCACTTTTGGAGAAGGGAAATGCGGAGTAAAAACGGCGTCTAGAAGGATGCTGTTGCCTGTACAATGGAAGTGAAGAACTCTTTCGCTGTTGTTGCGGTGGTTTGTCTCTTGTTTTGCTCCAGTTTCAGCCAAGACCTCAACCCTAAAGGCAAGAATGTATGCAAAGCGCCTGGGTAAGCATCAGTGCCAAAGAAAATAGGATTTTGTCTACTATTTGTGTATTATTTGTGAATGCAAATCAATTTGTTTGCGCGTTTTCCTCGTGAGCTTTTTTATTTTACTTTTAGTAGTCTGATTGCATTGAACGTAAGTGGTATATCTCATTCCTCAAATATTTTACATGTGCTTGAAGAGTAACTGGGTTTAAACAGAGGACAAGACTTTAATAACTTGATAAAATGGGCATTGGTTTGCTGTGTTGGCCTTACGCGCGAATAGCGGTTCTCATTAAAATGAAATAGTCGTTGTTGACTATGAAATCAACCATTAACTTCACTCTCTAAACTTTTCATTTACTTTTACATCAATGAATCTTATTTAGACTGTGATATTCGACATAGTATCTCACTTTGAAATGTCTTTTCTACTTATACCGTGTTCCCTGTCTGCTGTATAACAGGAGGCGGAGTCCACTGAAGTAAGCAGCTATACAGATGTGTACATCTGGAACAGGAGTTATTATATTGCTCTATAGGGGGCGCTCTTACTGGCCTTCACAGCATTCGTGGCACCGTTTGATAACATTGCGATTCACGTTTTAAAATTAACTTCTTGGTGAGTTTGAGGAAGTTTTTAAATAGTTTAAAGGAATATTTTTTTTTATTTACAGTTGATATTTCAAAAAGTGATACAATTATATTCGAGGAATCCACATCTAAAGAGCCCCCTCTAAAAGGTTAAGATATCCAAAAAGCATTTCTTTATGACCTCTAGGATATAGCTGGGCCTGTGGATATCCCAGACCACAATTGTTGACTGCAGCATCCAAGCTTGTTGAATTGATGTCTTTGAAATGTAGTTCAGGGCTCGCTCTCCACTATGCTGTAAAAGATGTGTGATAAGAAATCATGTGCTTGTAGTTTGCTTAAGTAGGCCTATCTCTTGTTTCTTGTTACATAATTTCCTTTACAGACTTTGGGACAGATGAGAACGGAAACTAAATAAGTGAAAATGAAAGTTCTTAGAGCAAGACTGAACTGCTTTATGAAGTCTGATATATATATAGCACTGGCCTCCACTGCTCTACAAGTTTGACATTTTGCCCTCCTTCCGGCATTCATTGTAGTGAACTCACCAGTCATTTGTTTTTCCCATCATGCCCATTATGTCCTTATTTCCTCTAACTTGAATGCGATGCTTTCAGCACTGATTCCAAAAAAATTATTTTTGAATCCATGAAAGAGCAGCTATTGAAGTCCTTGGCAAAGGTAGTTGGTACATTATTTATGTAATAATGAAAGGCAAACAGGAGTGCAGCTGTACACCAAATCAGTTCTGCTCAACATTGAATGCAGCCTTTCTTCTTGAACGCTGACATGGATTGGAGGTGTTTTACAGATCAACATCCGTACATGTTGACTGGAACACCAAAATATGGAGCAGCACAGTTTCAGAAACATTGAATCCAGAAAGGCTAATTTAAATAAAAAAATTTAATCTTCCTTTCATAACAAGTGAAATCATACAGAGGTTCGACCTGTGATCTCTACCACGCGCCTATTTTGGCAGGATAAAAAGCAGCATTGCTCCCTGCTCACTGACTGAAAGCAAACTGCCATCTTCAAACAGTTAAGGGGAAGCTGACGTGTTGCAGGGGCCCCACAGAGGTCACAGGCGTGGGAGGAAGAGGAGACGCATCCGTCCTTTCCTGACAGGACTTTAAACTTGGCTGCAAAATATACTCTCTGAATATTCACATTCCTCCTTCAGTTCCCAGAGGCTTGGGAGATGTAAAGAACCTTATCAACTATGCAGATTCAGGGGTTAAGGACTTTAAGGAGTGTATGTACTGTGTACAGATGGGAATGACCCCATTCAGATAATTATACATGCATGTGCTAAGCATATGCGTCATGTACAATGCCCTGCATACGTTTGATTTGGCATCAGCCACATCAATAAGATGAGATCAAAGAGGCATGAGTTGGATGTTGGATGCTGCTACTTTGATATGTGTTTGTTTCACTGTATTTTAGCCAGGTTCTTCATCATTCCCCTCTCATTCTAAACTTCATAAACTCTTTTCCAGATCATCAGGATTTTTGTGCTGCAGTGGATGGGGGCAGCTAGGGGATGAATGCCTGACACGTATGTACCACACAGAGTGCTTACATATATCAGTACATATCATATAGCTCATTGTGCAAGCCCGTTGAATAATGTGGCCTATTCTTGTTCACCCAAGCTCTCTGTGAAGGCAACTTCACCTGCAAGGAAAATGAGGTGTGTGTCAGGCCGAATGAATGTCGCTGTCGTCATGGATACTTTGGAGCTAGCTGTGACACTAGTAAGGGATTTTTTTCATTTACTATCATCATTACTACCTTTTGACAATGGTGTTTAATAGTCAAATTAATTGAAAATATTTCACCTGTAAAATACAAAGCTCTCATTAAAAATCTAAAACTACAGTTTACTGCACTTGAAGTAGGTCGGTTGGTCCACCACTTTGCTCTAGTTGAAATATCTCAACCTTCATTGGTACTGATATCCATGGAGTCCAGGGGATGAATCCTAATGACTTTGGTGATCCTGTGACTTAGCCATTAGCAGGTTGACATTGCCATAACATTTGGAAAAGACATTCATATTCCTCTCAGGACAAATAAGGTGATCCCTTTTCATTTAGCATCACTATCAGGTCAAAATTTTTATTTTCTCAATAACTGCATTCCCATCAGCCATAGCCTTATGTTGTGTTTTGTGCAAATTGGCAGGTGTTGTAAAGATGGTGACACTGTTCCTGCAAAACATCAGAATGTTAGCATTGCCGTTGTGATTATGTTACAAACAGCTATGCCTAAGTACAGCCTCACAGAAGCACTTGTACACTCTTATTCATGTTTAAATATATTTGACAAGTCAGAAGAATATTCCCCATTTCCTGATAACTGCACTGTCTTTTAACAGAGTGCCCTGCCCAGTTCTGGGGCCCTGACTGCAAGGGGAAATGTAATTGTTACCCCAATGGCCAGTGCGATGACTTGACCGGTGAGTGTACCTGCAACCACAATCGTTGGGGACCTAACTGTGAGAATGCTTGCTTATGCCAAAAGGGCAAGTGTGACCAAGAGACGGGCAAATGCACATGTCACCCTGGCGTCTGGGGTCCCCAGTGCAACAACAACTGCTACTGCAGCATCAACTCCATCTGCGATGCCATGACGGGGCGATGCTTGTGCAATCCTGGTTGGACAGGGAGGAACTGTGCAATCCAGTGTAACTGTAACAATTCACCATGTGACCAGTTCACGGGACGCTGCCAGTGCCGGGAGAGGCTGTGGGGCCAACGGTGCGAACGATACTGCCAATGCATCCACGGCAAGTGCAATCAGGCAGACGGTTCATGTACCTGCACACCAGGCTACCGTGGGAAGTTCTGCAGGGAACCATGTCCTGCCGGCTTCTACGGTCAAAACTGCAGGAACAGGTGGGGGAAAGATCTTGGCAAGGAGCAAACATTTTCACTTCAAAAACCAAAGAAACATGCAGTTTTACAGACGTCTAATGTTCAGTTTCCTTGTCTGATCCATATTGTGGTGCGGTTTTGTGGTTTTGATAGGAAATAAGATTTGATATATGCTGCAGCTGATAACCCTTAAAATATCGGAACATGTTACTTAATGGAGCAATAATAAAGTGAGATTTGGGATTTGGTATTCACATTATCCCATAATCATCAGCCAACATGTAAAAGCAATTTAGGTTAAGTGCTTTACCTTCCATGGACTGTGCTGTTCTCACACGATACAGTTGCTGAAAAACCAGAAAGAGCAAAGTTAGAGTTAAATGTTGTTTATTTCCCTCTTTACATGGATCGTTAGAGCAACAATTTAAAGCATATACAATATTTTTTATCATGTTTCAGATCCTTTAACAGCTTCACTCCATTTAGATGAAATGGGGACATTTTTGTGTGAACAAGATGAAAGAGAATTATTTTTTCTGCTTTGCTCGGCTGACCACAGGTGTGGGCACTGCAAGGGCCAGCAGCCCTGTAAGGTGACAGAGGGACGCTGCATCACCTGTGACAGAGGCTGGAATGGGACGCGGTGTGACCAGCTCTGCTCCAAAGGCTTCTTTGGCGAAAACTGCCAGGAAGTGTGTCCCACCTGCAAAGATGGTCACCACTGCGACCCCATTCATGGCAAGTGCTCTCACTGTAACCCTGGCTGGATTGGAGACAGGTAAGAAAATACATACAGTCCAGCGTAGAAATGTGTAGAAGAAACATGCAATGTTCATATTTTGTTGTTCAGTCAGATCATTTTTCCCGCAGAGCTTTATAATTTTAAAAGTTAAAAACATAATGGCAGAGCCTTTAACTAGTAGCTACTGTAATAACATTTTCCACACTGTGATAATGTCTATGACTCACACTGCTAAGCTTGAAAATGACTGTAATCATGGCATTCCTTTTGTGTGTGATAGGTGCGAGGTGCGCTGCCCCAATGGCACATATGGCGAGAATTGTGAGAACAACTGCAGTCACTGTTTTAATGGCATCTGTCATGTTGTCACGGGAGAGTGCCTGTGTGACCCGGGGTTTTATGGCACCTAGTAAGTCATAAGACACCTCATACCCCCAAAAACTCATGTTTATGCCTTCAGCAGTTTTATAGTACACAGGCTTTCATATTACTTTTGTCATATATTTATATATCTTGGGAACTGAATGAGCGAGCTTGTGTTTTGAGGCATATTTTTACAGATACTGATAAAGAACACTCTTGGAATAGAAAACTGAAATTCCTACAAATTTCCATCACAGGAAAACTTTTGCCTGAAAGAAAGAACTGATCCCATTTATCATTTTCTCTCTTTCTTTGTCCTATTTCATACATCTGTCACTTGGAATGAACATTAAACAGATGTTGTTTTTGTCTTTTTTCTGTACTCAAGCTGCAATATGACCTGTCAGCCTGGCCAGTATGGAGTGAACTGCAACCAGACTTGCTCTTGCCATGACAAGAACTGTGATCCTGTGTCTGGTGCTTGCTATCTCCGTAAGGAAATCTCTCTTTTTTTAAGAGCAAACACATTCTTTGTGGTTATGATTTTTTAAAGGGTTTTTGTTTGAACAGCAGCAGAAACTAATGTTTTCTCTAAATAATGTACCCTTTCAGAGACAAAAAACAGAAATAATACCAACTCTCTGAACTGTTTATTCAAAGAGCCAGATGCCACTAGTGCAGCCCATGTATTAAATGTCTAATAGTTGGCTGTACACACTGAGTACCAACAAACACATCTATTCAGGTCAGTGTGTGTAGTGGGAGAGTTAACATAGCGAGGCCTTGATAGTGTTTCCAGACCCAGACCGGTGTCCTTTTTATGGCTGTGTTTGTTGGCTCTGTTCCTGTCCAGCCAGAGAGAGAAAGAGGAAGAGAGAGAGATAGAGTGTGAGAGAGAGAGAGAGAGAGAGAGAGAGAGAGAGAGAGAGAGAGAGGGAGGGAGAGGAAGGAAGGAAGAAATAAAGAGGGGGATGGAGAAAATATAAGAGAAAAATAGAACTTGGAAGGGAGACAGAGGGAGAGAAAAGTGGACTGTTTGGAAAGAGGAGATCATTGGAGGCAGGCAGGGAGAATATGTTGTATAAGACACAAAGGTAGGAGAGATTTTTGGCCATTGTGGACAGTGGACATTATCAGCAGCGGCAGATTGGTCATTGATATCATAAGACCTTGTCACTTTTACTTTACACACAAACAATTTTCTGTTCTTTATCCAGCTGTAAGCACAGAGCAATGACAACATGTCATGCCCAGACTGCCCAACCATCCATCTCAGCCTTATGTGACAGTGTAAAGACCAGAGGGCCACCTCTACTTACTCCTTAACTGATGGTTTGATTCTCTTCTGGTGTCATCTGCCCTTGCAAGCTCCAAATGCCATCCATACTTATGCAATACAGCACTTATTATCTTTGGGGTGTGTCCCACTTGAAGAGGGGTGCTAATAAATCAACGCTGAGTTATGGTGAGGGGCGTGTAGTAAAGAGGAGGTGGGGGGGGGAGTCGCTTGCAGGAAATCAGCAATGAAAGGGTAAGTGGTCCCATGTCTTGAGGGAGATAAGATTAATAGTGAATTATTTGGAGTAAATTTCAGCCTGTTGCAATCTCATTTCCCCAGAGATGCTTCATGTCAAGCAGAGATTCAAAATCAATTGTTAATGCAACACCTCGCTTTATCGTTATTATCGAAGCTAACGGTCATATTAATAAAGATTATACAGCTAACTAAGCCGTCTTCTGAAGTCATTTGAATGTATAAATCCTAATAAGTTGCCATATGCCAAGGTGTCTAGTGTTAGTGATGACAGAGAGAGAGGGTTGTGGAAATTAGCATACAGAGTTTTGCTGTGCCAATGTGGCAATGTGGCACACCCAGAATTCCCTGCATCTCTTCTTTCAGAGCCCAACCAGCGGATGGGTGTGATTGCGGCTGGAACCCTGGTCTCATTTTTACTGATTGTCCTGCTCTCGCTGCTGTGCTGCTGCTGCCTCTGTCGACACAAAGACAACCACAAGTGAGTGACAGATAGGTGTCTTCACCTTCACGATCCTACTAGGAGGCTTGCCCTGGTTATGAAAATATTTTCTTTTTACTCTCTCTCCCAGGTACAAGGTTGTTAAATGAATAAATGCATATAAATTGTATTTTAAGTATTTTTATATGTTGACATTACAGTGTGAGTAGCAATGTGAGCAGCCCCTGAGTTCTCAAAAGAGGCACAGGGCCAGGTTTAATATGCCTCTTTTGAATGATTCATTTGGATTTCCATGGCGTCATCCCTTTTCAGTCCTAACCAAGACATCTCTACCAACAGCAAAAAAGCCAAGCGGATCCTGTGTGGACGATTCAGCCGCATCAGCACTAAACTTCCCCGTATTCCACTGAGGCGACAGAAACTGCCCAAAGTAGTCGGTAAGTCTCATATTCCACCGCAGTGCTGCCAGCGGCTGCTGTACGTAATCAACCTCTCTGGGGCTTTGTACAACACAGTCTGCTAAAGTGGCATCACTCTTAGCTTCATTAACTGTCAATGCATAATTAGGTCTTAATGTAATGATATTCAGATTTTAACATACCAGGTGTCGGATATTATAAAAACTGGTTTTACAGGTTATCGCTGCTTTGATCTCTTCATCTTAACACAACAGAGACAATAACAGCAGTGAATGGCAGTCAGGGTGAGCATTTTCCTTCAGTGCTACCTTAGTCTGCCTTTTAGATGATGAATAGGGTTGAAAAGTGTATGGTGGCTGCCAGGCGAGTATGGGGTTTCATTTGAAAGGAATGCACTGGTTTTAGAGCCCCTTATTATTCTTGGCACTCTAAAATGCCATGTGTTCATATTATTACAACCCTAAACTGGGGCTTTTTTTTCCCATTTTCTTTACTCGTTTCCATCATCTTCTTCCCCAAGAAATTTTTTCTTGGGCTGAAGAGGAGGCTGTGTTATTAAAAGAAGGCCAGTGGTTGTCGGGGGGCCCGGGGTGGTGGTGAGTGACGTGCTATCAAAGGCTGTACTGTTTGGGTGGACGCTGCAGCACTGCTGCTCCATGTGGAGGTCTCGTGGTCTGTGACAGATCTGTCTGTGACCTTTTTTTATTGTAGACAGAAGAGATATGCTGATATTTTAATCCCCACAACACGGAATTTAACATGGCTGTTTTTCTTCAAGGTTCATAAACAATTTTAAAACGTAGAACAAATATAAAGATTCACGTTTGTGGAAGTCATTTTGCCTATTAGGGATTTCACTATATAATAATATATATGATCACTATACAAATAATTATTCTTGCAGTTGCAGGGTCAATGTTTAATTTTCATGTACTGCATCAGAACATCAATATTTATGTGTGCCTCACACATTTTTGTATGGGATTTTCAATATTTTCGAGACATGGAGTCTATTTCTCTAACTGTGCTAATGTTGTAATTTATTAATTGAAGTAGAAGATTAATAATGTTAAGCTAACTACACTGACAGACTATAAGGAAGACATTTGCACTAGTGCTAAAGCAGTTAGTCAATTCATTAATTTGTCTATTGACAGAATGTACAACAATTTTCATAATCAATTTATTGTCAAGTTATTTATAATGAAAATATACATATATGTGCATATATATATTACATTTTCTGTACAGCAGTTTCAGCTTAAGCATTATTATAAAACAATGTAATTTGATTCTTTAATGGGGCTCTGAAAGAGTTAAAACATGATGACCTGGTTTCTCGATGTCTGAGCAGCATGTGCCTCCTCGGCTATCCAGCTGATTATTTAAGCTAGAATCTGTCTGTATTATGCCTCAAAATACAACACTGGGACAGAGTTGCCTTTGTCATCACGGTTTGGGACATTGATATGCTTGTTTGTGAAGAGCTTGACCATGAAGCAATGTGCCAGTCCCTGAGGCATAAACTGCAACATAATCCTAGTCAAATGCCTTTAAAACAAATAATCAATTTCACATTTTTACATTAAGACATGTGTTTGCACTGCAAGCAAATGAACAACAATCAATGTTTAGGTTTTTACAGTTTAGATTTCTACATTTTCAGACAACAAATAAGACTACCATGTAACAATCAAATTTAAGAACAGACCTCAATACCCAGTCAAACCTATTACGACTAGCCTCTCTTGTCCTTCCTGGTTTGTCCTATCCAAATTGTTGCTACTCTGCTTTCTGTTGGGCTACCCACAGAAGTGTGGTCTGCCAACATTTGGAAACTCAAACTCTGACTGGGGCTACACAGTCCTGCACACACACACATTCCAGAGGGGGCCCAATGGGGCTGGAAACAGGAAGTGGTCAAATTTACCCCAGCCCGTGTCAGAACTGTGATTTATCCACACCAGGGTCAATGGCAACAGATGTGGCAAGACAAAATGAAAAAGGAACGGGGAGAAGTAGGGAAGGAAGACAACATTTACTCTTCTGTTAGCATAGTTAGCCTCAGAGAATTAGCTACATGAACACACTGTCACTTATTCGCTTCTTGGCAAAAACTAAGAATGTTTGCTTGTAGTTTGGCATTCCATTCTAAGTATATTTACTCCACGCCCTACAGATACACGTCTGTCCGGCATTCCTTGCATCTTCTGTGTCCAAATGCTTTCCCATCAGTGAGGACTGAGAGCAGCACCACCTGCTTTTTTCATCTTTATTTATCCCGGAAAATGTGGCTGGGAATACAAGTGTGTTTGCAGCAGGTCTCAACTTCACATTTGTGCAGTTGTGAGCTGCCTAAAAAAAAAACCTTCTCACACTATAAAGTCACTCTTAAGTTCATTAATAAAGATGAAACAAAGGGGAAATGGGCTGCTTGCCTTTTAGTGAGAACCAACAAGCTTCTGCTACAGTTTAACTTAACTTTATCAGTTCATTTTACAAATATTTGTAAATAAATGTGGTCAGTGACTGGTTAATAGGATCTGAGTTGGCCATGTTGGCTGTCACTCAGTGTAGTGTATTTGTTTTAGACTGCATGCAGTCCTGTAACCCTGACATATGCTATTTCAAGGTGAAACATATAGTTTCTTCTTATTGTTGGCACATAATATCCCCATTCTATGCCCAGATTTCCCAGGCTAGATCAGGCATTTGAACCTACTTGTCCATTTAGACTACCTCACACCCCTCACTCACCCACCCCTTCACTGAGCAACTGTGGTGGCGCTGGAGCTCTGCAGCTGGGATGTGTCAATAATGCCCCGTTGTGCATTGGCCTCTATGTAGGGAGGGATCACAGTGGCGTCCAGTCTGCAGAACAATCTGGCCCACTAGACCCACAGTCTGGAGGGCCAGATTGCAGAGCTTTCAAGGGCAGCAGTTGTTCATCACTGCATACAAGTAATGTCACAAATTCCCATGTGTTTTGCTTGTTGAGTAACTTAACTGAAGTCTTTGCATAGGTTAGCTGCTCTACATTCCTACAATCTACATCCATCTGCCTGCTGCTGCTGCACAGTAAAGAACAAGGGCAGAAGTGAAGACTCTGTCTTTTTTCATTTATTTATTCCTGTCATTGCATTTGTGGAAAATATTTTTTATCCACACCTATGGATAATTGTTTTGCTTGGTTCTGTATACAATATATATATTGTTATTCATCTACCACATCCACGCAAAGCTGATTTCTTTTTTACAGTTAATCCACTCAGAATAGTAGGGCCATGTTAGACTTGGAGTTAGTTTTGTAGCCACAAAAGTCCAACATTAACTACACCTGTTGGGAGAGCAGTTTGGCATTATTCTGGTAAACAGGATACCCTTGAATAGCCACATACAGTACATGGGTGCCCTTGAATGGTCTCTTCTACATACATATTGAAACGCTTGTCATTCTCGGTCTTTGTTTCCCCATTTTAACTCACATCTGTACTTGCTTATTGTAGACATGTTGCACCTGTGTTGACATTATCCACCCTATGTGTTACACAAAGACTTTAGACTCCCAAACTCAAACATGTAGGTCAGAGGTTAAGATGACTTGTTTTGGAAAAAAATCTAAAAACATATTTTTACAGAACATAAGGTTTTAGATCAATGTAGCAATACAGATTTATCTGATGAGTGCTATTTCTTAACATGCAAACATAACTTTAAAACAGATCTTCTATCTGAGGTAGTAACAGGCAGTAAAAATCTATAATTTATAATTTGGAAAACTAAAAACTTCCTCAAAGAAAAAACAAATCAGGGTTGTTAAAAATTGCTTTGTACAAACATGTCAGTACAAAAGAAATTATGTGGAACACACACGCATCCTCTCATCCTCTCGCATGACCCACCCACCTTTGATTTAACCATGACTAAATCTGGTTGTTGTTTGAGAAAATGTTGAAAGCAGTTGAAAGCAATAAAAGCACACCAGAAAGGCACATGATGTGAGGCAGATGAATGGACAAGGGAGGCAAACGAGACGTGTTTAGTTTACACTTTATGGTGAGAGGAACGTCTAAACAGATCATCTGCATATGTATTTGATTGTTATTAAGGTCAAGATTTTCTTGTTTTGTTGCATTTCAAAAGTTCATGCATATCAGACACTAACAAGCTGTAGTGAGAATTAAAACCAAGCTGTGTGAAATCTGAGTGACATAGGCTTCTGATTCTGCCCTGATTTTACAGATAAAGTACAAAGCAAATGCAGTTTTTCATCTGATAGTGCTTCTACAAGTCACCAAGTCTGCAAAAATCCGGCCGTAGATCTCTTAAAGTAGCCCATCTTTTTAGTAACAGTCAAACAACCACAGCTAAGGAGCTAGGATTTGTTCCTGGCCAGGGTCCTGGTACAGTTAGGGGATTTCTTCCATGCAAGGTTTATCTAAGGTCTAAACTAGCGGATGGACCCATGTGTCATCGGGCATGTAAACAAGAGCATCTGATGTGGTCGGTCACGTCGAGTTAACGCCCAATACAGTTTAGGCCAAAACTGCACTGTTCACGCCAGATGGGAAGATCAACCGCAAGTATCCCTCAGAAACCACAGCTGTCCTGAGACTGAAGGGTCAGCAGAATGCTGCAGCGTCTGAAGGGAAGGAAGGAAGAGGATTGAGAGAGAGGGGGTGGGGGCGACTGTGAGAGAGAAACATGACTCGACCTACATATCAGTAAGAGGGAAACATGACTCGACCTACATATCGTTGAGGGAGAGGATTCAGTGAAAGATGACTAAAGAACCATGTGGCTCATTTTGCTCAATACCCAAATACTAAAAAAAAAAACTACAATAAAAAATATCATGACATTAACATTGCAACAATATTATACTGTAGTTTTATTCTGATTCTCAATTACAGCTAGAAGGTGTACAGACTACCTGTTTCCCCTTGTTTCCAGCATTTATGCTCAGCTAAGCATATTCTTTTTAACTTTGTAATTAATAAGATGAGACTGGTGTCGGTCTTCTCATCTCAGAAAGAGGTATATTTCCCAAAATGCTGAACCATCCCATTAAAAAGGAATACTTATTTTTCAAGCTATTTTGCTTTATTTACAATGTATATACTAGCATCCAGTAGATTGAGAAAATAACAATAGAGTAATAAATCACATACTTCTTAATGCATAAATGTATTCATTTATTTGGTATCTATATAATATCTGCACCTTATTAGCTTTATGTGGTAATCTTTTAAAGGGCTAATATATCTCTTGATTCAACAACACAACAAGGAGCTGCTGACCCACCTAAAACAATGCATAGTCTTGGGTTGATTGAGAATTTCTGTCTTGTGTGATGGTCAGAATGCTGTGTTTTGGCATCAAAATATAAAAATACTTAAAGGGTTATACATGAAAATATCTACGTTCACTTTCCATAATATTGGAGCCTTTGTTAACTCTCATGCAAAACTAATAAAACACAGTTTTTCCACAGACTAACTTAAACCAACATTTTCTACAACTCTGCAGCAGTTGTGAGAGTGAGTGAGAACAGACTGTTGTTCTTGTAACACGGTATAATACCCTCTGGCTGACCTTTTGGCTTTTGCGTTTGTTTTCTGTTCTCAGTAGCCCACCATGACCCAGAGAACACCTTCAACTGCAGCTTCATCGAGCCTCCTTCAGTGGTCGAGCAGCCCTCCCCCTCCTCCTGGTCGTCCCAGGAGTCCTTTTCTTCCTTTGAGAGCGGAGATGAGGGGCCAGTTTACTGTGTGCCCAATGAAGGTGAGTCATCGTATGAATAAATAAACTGTTTAGTTATCTGGAATCACGCACATAAATACATGATTTGTCTTCGGCATGTAGGAGCCTTTTCACATACACACAAGTGCTGATAGACACACATTTCTGGAGAAGTCAAGATCCCGAGTGTGGTTGTGCAGTGACTCACCCACTTCTGTAAATCTCATTACAGAGATAATTTCTATATCATATGCCATCTAGGTCCAGATTTTGCTTCCAGAACAAGGAGAGTATAAACAGGAAATGGAATGGTCAAGTCAGCATATGGCACAAATCCAAACAGTGACTAACTCCTTGAAGTTGGGTGGAAAACACCCGTTCATCAGTTTCTATAATGGAAGTCTGCTAGTCAGGTTTTGTTTGGGGATTTTTGTGTGTCGTGTGATTGATGGATTTCTAGGGCTCCCTTAGTAGTTTGATTCAGTTCTCATTCTCCCCATGAATGGTTCAAGGACTTTGAAACAGCTGATTTTAAACTTGGGCACAAAATAATTACTGGAAACATTGTGAAGGGTTTTCAAATTAGAGTTGCACCGATAGGATCTGTTGCATTGGAGCTGCTCCAGTCTCAAGTATGTGTATACAAAATAGCAAATTAACTGGTAGATATAATAACATGTGTTAGTGCTTTTCTGGTTGGAAGAAGTCTCCTTGCCATTTGATTTCCACTTTATTATTGACAATGTAACATTTTTGAATTATTGTGTTGTATTCTCAATTTTATTTATATAGCTTAAAATCACAAAAAAACTATTTGCCTCTAAGGACTATACAATCTGCATAGCATACATATACATATCTGTAAAACCTTTGATTCAAATGAGGAAAAACACCACAAAATGAAATATTAAACTTATTTTATTAATATACACCGTCCACTGTGACTACAAGTGGCAATGACAGGGTAATGGTAAAATCTAAAACAGTGTAATAGTAGCACAAGTAGGGAATCATGTTGGCGAACTGCCATAGTAATATCAGTCACACAAGCAATATCTACTGTATTGAAAGTTACCATTATTAGCATTGAAGCCAAGGTTAGTTTTAGCTTATGAATTAAACTTTACATTTGTGAGAGGAATGTGTTCAATCATACGTCACATAATCTCACTTTACTTGATCAATGTGAATTTTGAATATTGAATAGATTCTTATTAATGCTAAACTAATGCCATCTTCCAATGATCCACAGAATCTGTGAACGAAAGCAAAGAGAAGCGCAGTCCCAGCCCAGCAACAGAGAGGCCAGAAGCTATCCTTAATGAGGAGGATGCAGGGGAGTACACCTCCCTGAAAGACACCAGTGTCGCAAAACCAGATGGCAATGAGCAGCCCCTGCTCAAGTCCTCTGATAGTGAAGGCTCCACAAGTGGCTCCGAGTCCACTACTGCAGCCGTCTACGCTCGCATCGCCCGCCTCTCCAAGCAGTCCAAGGAGGACGATGGCAGTGCCAAGGATGGGGATGGCACTCCTACACCAGAGGCTAAGCGCAATGGAAAGCCACCACCATCCCCTGGCAAGCCCAAACCTCGACCACCAGACCCATCCACTAAGCCCAAGGTATCGTGGATACATGGAAATACTACAGGGTCTCCCCAGCTAGAGCAGCAGGGACAGGGAGGAATGAAGGCACTTGCAGTGCCAAAGGAGAAAAAGAGGAGCTCCAGCGATGGCTCAGCCAAGAGCGACGAGCGGCAGAAAATGAAAGAGAAGAGCCGTGAGCAACAGAAGAAACAGGAGGGGAAGGAGGCAGAAGTCAATGGCTCCCCCAGCAAACAAAAGCCTCTGCGAGGTAAGAAGTCTGGGGACGAGCACAGCAGTCCCAGTCACATGGAGCACATTAATGGTGTGGTTCAGAATGCCCTGAAGAAGATAAGTAGCTTCCACAGTTCCTCATCTGAGAAGAAGAATGCTGATAGTCCAAAGGAGACCCCCAAGGATGCACCCAAGAGCCCCAAGGTCATTCACCCTCATATGAACTCTGAGGCTGCCACGCTCCTGGCTGCTCAACTTAAGGAGAAAACCCAAAGCATCAACAGGAACGAGGGCACAGGTCTGACGAAGACCAATGGTCTTTCCACACCCAAGGGACACCGGGAGAAGCCAACACCTCCGCAGAAAGCCAAGAGGACCCCTTCCGGTGGATTGAGCCAGCAGGGCTCCAACAAGCCCCTGCTGCCTACCTCGAGCAGCCTCCAGAAGATGGTGGCACCCGTCAGCACCGACCTTGGGACCCCTGACGCCAAGAGCCCGGAGAAGCAGGACTTGAACGGCTCAAGGGCAGGGGACTCAACGTTGGACCAGACACCAAAGAAGACTCCCATAAAAAAGCCACCCAGGAAGAAAGGCAAGGAGGGTACTTTGGATACATCAGAAAACAAATCACCCCAGCAAAAGACAGCCATTATGCCACCACAGGTAGTTAAATAAGTGTTTTTAAAGACAAATGGCTGAAGTTTGTGAGGAATTTCAAAGAGACTAAAATGGATTTGTTGGAAGGTGAACCACATAGTTTTTCAATCAAGGAATTTTAACATTTTTTTCTGTGTGAGTGTGCTGTGACTCCAGGACCAGTAAAGAGTGAGAAATGCTTTTAAACGGAAGGGCGCAGTTGAGTCATATTGGTGAGTTATATTATAATGACCTCTATACACCATTGTATTTCATTTCAAGAGTCCTTTTTTGTATAACAACTATGTATCAATCTCACACCACAACCTGTGGCTAAGCCAGACACAACTGTGAGAACAGTGGTGCACAGACATAATCCATAGTTCATTCATCTCTATTCATCAGCAGTATGTCCACCACTATATTTATACATGGATTGCTTTTGAGGTTGCATAACTGTAATTTGCTATGCAGGTGTCAGAAAAAAATATCTATTTTTTATGTACGCTCTCCAAAGGTACTAAAGGTACTTAAAATAAGAAGAGAATTAGATCCCCTGAGGATTGCAAGCTATTTGTTGTTTGTTTTGTTGTTTTTTTCTCATTTCTAAGGACCAACATGCTCAAATACAGCTTTATACCTGAAGCCACCCTAAATTAGATATAATCCTCATTCTTGATGTCAAGGCTATTCTTTGCAAATGAGGGTCTCCTTAATTGTCAATGAAGAGCATCACTTTTATAGTTTCAGTGTGATTTATTGGAGACAAAGAAAGCACCTTTTTATTTTCCTCCTCTGCTTTGCTACTAGAATTAGGACTTTCAGGTTGATATACAGCGTTATTTGGAAGCTTCTCTTTAATCAACAAGGTTGACACCCCACAGTATACAAGTTATGCTACATTTAGGACTTAGTTTGGCTTCTTTGCTTGTGAGTCACCTTTAATTGCTCACTGACTTTAGCGTTTGGTTTCAAGGCTCTTCTCTAAAGAAATGTTAGATTTTTGGATTTAAGTCTTAACTCTCTTTTGTCCAACTCTGTCAGACATGGTTTGTTGAAACCCAAACAAGCTCTTTGATCTTTTTGTAAAAAAAGGCTGTTTAAAACCTCTTTCATACTTCTGCTAAAACCAAATGACCATAATGTGCTCTTACTGTACGTTTTATTCAGTCAGTTAAACCACTAAACCAAAAATGAAATCCCAAGCCATCCTATGTCCTCGCTTGATGTCATGCTTATAAATCACTTTAAACTCACTTTCTTCCTCTGTAATACAGCAACATCTGTAGTTCCCCTATGCTGTATTCAAGAAAATATACTACAGGACAATAACCTCCCTGTAGATGGAATAGATAGTTTTGTTAAAGTAGTGGCTGTTCGTAGCATTCTCAACAGATCAGACTACAGAAAGAGACTGCCATGTGTCTTTATTTGCGCTTTCAGTTTAGTCGAGAAACTAGGTCAATAATGCCATTAGAGCTATTCTCATTCATTTGTTTATGCCATCAGGGTCTTGTGAAAAAAATAAAATAAATAAAAACTCTCAAAGATGTTTTTCCCTAAAGGATTATATTTTCTAAAACTAGTGGATGAATGCTGTAGTAATAGGGTGCTTTAATTTCATTGTTTTAGGGTAAGACTATAAGGCTAAATGGTACCATGCCTCAAGTGTTAAAATGTGCCTCAACTGTTGATCAGTTTAAGCAAAAGAAGCTATGTTTGCCTAAATGTTGTTTCACATAATAAGTAAACCAAAAAACGTGGTGGGGAGGAATACTTTAACTGTTTCTCAAAATGAAAACCTCTTTATTTCAGTTATTGGTGGATAGCTTTTTGAAAATAGCACTCAAAACATGAGCTATGTCCAACAAAGTATATATGCAATGTGCTATTGCCCTGTTTTGGGCTGAAGAATATTTTACATTCACAGGTAATTTGAAAATTGTCTTGGTTTTATTTGTTTTTTTCAAGGTACAACACATTTCTTTGGTTATTTTTTCAACATTTCCTACTTGTATACATTGTGTACTTTTTATTATCTTTGTAAGCTGTGCTTATATGACCTTTTTAGTTCTTCTGTTTTCCTTGGTGTCAATGAACTGGCTTTCATGTTGTATTTGCTTTTTTTTGGTATGTTGCTTATTTTTGGCTCTGAAGCAAACCTGCAGTATGAATACTCTCCTCCTGTAAAGTTTACATTGGCTTTGTAATTGTTCTCTGTTGATGTTATTGTTTGTGTAACACTTAACTGCATGACGCAGAGTGTAATTATATGGCATTAATAGCTGCACAGGAAATCTGTAACCTTATTGTTCCCTACAGTTGTTATTATTGCCTCCCATGAAAAATAAGTAATTCAGAAAGGATTGTACAATACTACTATGATACCACTGTTGAAACAATTGCATATACTTAAATCCATAACATTATGTTATTATGAAGTTGCAATTTTTATCTGACTGGCCCGTGCCTGTTTTTATAGGCTTACAGTGCATTTTTGTAAAGAGGGCCTGAAAAGCTGCAAAACGTTACCAACTGTAAGGTATATTTTGTCTGTTGTGGTTTGTTTTTAGCAACTTTGATTTCCATTTGTGTATGGTCATTAAATTGATGTGTCCTCATTTACTTCTTTGGAATAAAAAAGCAATACATGTAGCTAGTCAAACCAGAGCTTAAAAATCCGTCCTCACTTAATTGATTTAGAGTGACAGTCATCATATGCTAATCACCAAGACCCCCTTCATTCTCATGGGGGCATGACCTATTCTTGGTATTTTCTCCCAGTGTCTTATTCCAGCGTACAATCAACTACAACAACAATATGGGGGAAAGGGATGTATTAGGTAATACACTGCATAAATCTCTTATTGTATTCTTCGCACAGATTGATTTGAGTACTCATTGATATTTGAACCTTTCTTGTGACTTTGTGCTACTGGGCTGTCGAGTCCTTGGGACAAGGCAGGAGTCCTCCAGAGTCATTCAGTCAAGCGGCTCTTCAAAGAGCCCCAGGGAACCAGGGAACTGTTACTTTGGCTCTTTTAGGATGGGGGGGACAAGAGCTCCTTTCATGGGGGAAAAAACAGTGGAAACTCTGTGCTAAGGAGTTAATCACGCGCTGCATTAGTGTCCTCTCTTTACGGGGAGAAGAGGGGTATGGCAGGACTGGGCCACAGGGCAATGAAGGAGGACGAATGGATGGATATAAGGATGGATGGATAGGTCATATGATGGTTAATTGGAACCAGAGCGTGAAGTGACTGTTTTTGATTCCAAACTTTTGACATGGTGTTACTTACTGAATATGTGTAATTAATGCTATAGAATAAGTTGTATTAAGATTTTTCAGGACTGAAGAAGTTGAGTCTAATTAACATTCCACTTTTGTCGCCTTGTCTTGATGGTAATAACGAATGGATGGTTAGCTGACTTTTATAGATAATTCTAAAAAGATAAAAACTATTGAAAGGTTTGCCCAACATGGACTGCTTTTCTTTGATCAGACAATTTAATTAACAATTTCCACATTTCGACAGCAAAACATTTGTTGTCTTTTTAGCTACGCTAGCAGCATAGCTCAAGGGATGGCAAGGTTGGTTCACCACTTTGGTCTAGACTGAAATGCCTTAACGACTATTAGATGGATGGCCATGCAATGTTGTAAAGACATTCATGTTCATTAGAGGATTAACCCTGATATCTTTGGTGATCCTCTGACTTTCCGTCTAGCATCACTATGAGCCTGACTTTTTCGGGGGGGGTTCTTATTGAAATGTCTAAATACGTCTTGGGTCACCTTAAAGTTTATATTTGTAGATTTGAGTGGAAAAACTTAATGGATTGCCATTAAATTTGGTTTACAAATTCATAATCTCCACAGGCTGAATTGTAATACTCTGTTGTTCTTCTAACTTTTCATCTAAACTAAACTTTTATTTATGATCATGTACCTGCAAAATGAAAATGGCAGTCCCATCAGCCTCAGCCATCAGTTTTCTCGTAATTAGCATTCTAGCATGCTACATTTGAACATGGTAAACATTATACTGGCTACACATCGCTGTGTTATTATTGTCATTGTGAGCATGTTAGCATGCTGATGTTAGCATTTAGGTCAAATAGCCACTGTGTAAAGCCTCACAGAGTGGCTAGACCGGCTGTAGGCTCAGTCCCCCCGAAAATCATCCAATTTTTAATGTGACAATGGCTTGAAGTCTGATTCATTGCTAGGATGGAAAGGAATGTTGACACAACTGCCTCCATCTGCCCATCATCAACTTGCAAATGAAGAAGATTCTCAGCTGAGCATACCAACACATGTTCTCTGACTTTTTATCCTTGACATGTTGTGGGAAAGTCACAGCTTGGAAATGTGCATTGCGTGTCACCGCTGTGCAGCATTTCAGGATAAACTGTGTTGATTGAGCATCTGTACGACATGTGATGGATTTCTGTTCATGATGCTTTTGAATGACTTTAAATGGGAGAGGCATTTGTATGATAATGGAACTTAGCCTTTTCATATTCCCTCTGCATTAGCTAAAATTATTTTGCTCCATTTATTGACTTGGTATTGAAGACGTGTGAAATATAAATTCTCTTTGGCATTGCAACTCAAAAGAACACAAAGGAGCGACTATACAGGATAACGCAAAGCTTGGTCAAAAAGTCAGGGTTAGGAGTGTGGGAAGGGGGTTCAATGGCATGTCGCCTGCCACTCTAAACATGACTTGGAGCTGGGGCGCACTCAGTGTGCCAAGTCTATAGAAACAGCAAGGCTTTATATGACTCGGCCTATGAGGCCTATGAGTCAGCCAAAAGCCCTGGACCCAGAAATCCTATTCCAGTCCCTGGGTTTCCATGGCAATGGGAACAGATTGGAACCACATCTGGTAGCCATTTCAGTCCCTGCAAGGAGAGGAAGAAAGAAATTTATGAGTGAGGGGGAAAAAGACAAATATTTTCTGCAATGCAAAGCAGAAAGAAAGTGGAGTCGAGTTACACTTGAAAGGGGTTGAAAATATTAATTCGGCCGTGGACTCAGTCAAGAGCAGTTTTTCAGTGCCCATGTAGGTTCAGGATAATGGATTAAGCTTAACTCCATTTGAGTTAAAATCTTGTAAGGGGCCTTCAGTAGAAAGCAACTTCTGTTAGCATGCATGAATGGATATGCTTAAGAAACAAAGTCAAGATTTCATGTGGTCATAGAAAGCTATTTATCTGTGTGAATCCTCTTACTAGGTTTTGAATACCTATTGCTGAGATGTTATTAAAAGTTATTTCTTGAAAAACCTCAGTGTAACAGAGAGTCTGAGGTTTTGACGTTTACAATTGGAAAGTAGCTTTTTGTTCTCGTCTTCAAACCACCGACTGTTTCACTGTCTGACATAGATGTGTGTTTGTTGCAGCATGATTTCCTAAAATGCACTCATTTCCCTGGCTGATTCATTGCATCAGACACAGCCAGAAGAGATTTGAATATGCTGTTTTCATCTCCTATCCCTGTCGACGCGCTGTCTGCAAGAAACGCTGTCTAATTGCAGTCCTCCTTACACGTTAAATGTTGTTTCTCAGCCCTGTGGAAATGCAGTAACTATGAAATGACATTTACTGGAAATGGAGCTGGTTGCTTTTCTTGAGCCAAAACCACTGAGAACTGAGGTCAGCTTACAACCAGAATGGGGAGGAGAAACAGCGCCAGCATCAAATGTGTGTTTATAGATTTCCAGTGACATCTACGCACTCTGCGATTTAAGACTGCCATTATATTAGACCCAAAACTCTCTTGTTGTTGCAGTGAGCAAAATAAAAGCCGCTCTTAATGCACAAATTAAGAGCAACCACACAACATGCTGAACTCCCACATAGATGCTCAGACTAGCTGGTGAAGTGCTGAAACTAGGTCAAAAGAGCTGAAACTCAGTCTCAGTTTGGGATGGATACACTCATTAGTATTGCACTAATACTAAGTTAATGTTTGTACTATTTGCTTTAGTTCCATCCACTCTGCTGCATCTGTGACATTTTAAACTACTTTGAGCCAGACTTGATGCATCATTATTTTAACAGTGTTAGGACATAGAGCTTCTGGAAGACACATACAAACAGTTTTCATCTTAAAAAGTTCTGTAAATGTGGGATACAAATGAATATGTATAGCCAGAAATGTAATTAAGCCACAGTTGCTCTCTCTATCCAGATGGAGATTAGTCTATCACTTTTTTTCCTTTTCTTTCACATGGAGGGGTGTGCAAACAGTTGTCTGGGACTTCAAATTGCCCTGGATTTTCCCCCCTTTGTCAGCATAATTCTGTGGAACGAGTGTATCAGGGGAGAAGATTTGGATGGCTAATAGAAAGCAGATCAGTCAGATGCTCTTTCTTTCTTTCTTTTACTTTCTTTCTCTCTTCTCCCTATTTCTTCTAAACCTTCTCTCATGTTTTTTCTCTGTAGCCTATTTATCCTTCTCCCTCATTCACTTCTTCCTCCCCCTCTCCCTGTCCTTTATTCCCTCACACACCCATCCATCCGCTATCTGTGCAGTAAAGTGGGACTTCAGACTTCATAATGTGGCTTGAGGTTTCAGCTTTCACATAATTCCACAGGCTGACCCAAAGTTTTTTCTTCTTACTCACTCCAACCTGGAGCAGCAGAGAGAGAGAGAGAGAGAGAGAGAGAGAGAGAGAGAGAGAGAGAGAGAGAGAGAAACTGCTGCCTTATTCAAGATATTGGGACGGAAAATGATCACAAGACCAAATGTGTCTGCCCAAACCCATGGAAAATAGGCAGATGGCTTATGTTTTTATGCACTGGACCCCAACTGTCCCGACAATCAGTCCTGTCTGCAACCAACGAGCTGTAGTTTACAACAGCTTTGTTGTTTGAGACGCAAACTTTCACTCCAACTTTTTCGCCCAAACCAGTAACAGCAACACATGTCGGTGCAAAGTTACTCGCCTTTAGCCTGCAAGAACATTTCCCCGCATCAGATTTGCTTTATCATGTCTTTGTGACTCCGAGGCCAGGTCAGGATTATTTACACCCTTCTTATCAGTGGCTTATTTCCACATATATTCACTGTATGCGGTTGCAGTGCACTGGTATATGAAGTGTTGACTGTGTATTCACTGTCACCGCGGCTGTGTGATGGTGTGTACGCGACCCTCACAGCCCTGTTCTACTTCACAGGACAACACTGGAGCCATTATGGAGAGCCATGTGTTTCTGATTACCCAGGCACAGATTAGAAGGGAGGGGAGCAGCGGTTGTTGTCTGTTTACCCCCCCCCCCAACACCACCCTCCTCCTCTAATGTGGCCTGAAACTGGACATCCATCAGTGCAAATCCCTCTGCCGCCTTTGCAACCCTTCCCACCTCTATGCCAAACCTTCACTACCAGGCCTATCTATCACCATATTCTTCATTTAAATATGTAAACACTGGAATCTTTGTCAGTGACCTACATATCATGCCAAAAGCACCAAGCTGTCACTGCTGTATTCCTGAAAACGCGCTCTTGTTGCTTAATCATAAACACTGTTGTGGCTCCAGTGTGAGACCGCAGAAGACAGTGTTGTTTCTTTGTTGTTGCTTCAGCAATGTGATACTTATTTGACCTCCACAAAGAAATTCTCTTTTGATTTCCCTCTAGAGAGTTCAGAGGTCAGGATCAGCTTCAG